CTGTGTGTGTTAAACACAACAAACAAAAGCTGGGTATATTGATGAAAATAGATATTAATTACGTAATAATCTATTGCATTTTCGCGAGACTCAAAAATCTCAACAAAGAATGTTTGTTCCGAAAGTTGTCTCTCTATCACGATGAAAGCTGCCATGTATTTTTTGATAATACATGGTTTGCAGGAATTGCCCGATTTTTAAGAAGATACATCTTACATTGTTTAATCTGTACTCCAAAACCAAACAAACCAAGACCAAAACACCCAATCGTAAAATTACCTATTCCATTTCGTACTATACATGTAGACATCACAGGACTCTTTCGAGCTTCACATGAAATATTTAAGTATATTTTAATTATTGTTGATGCATTTACTAAGTTTTGTATCTTAAAACTTCTTAAATCTATGTATGAGGTAGAATTAGTCAAGGTAGCGAGAGATAGCGCGTCGATCTTTGGCACATCAACTGATCGATCAATCACTAAAAATAAAATCAATCAACTGATCGTGTCACAAATTTCAATTCAAGGCAAATGCAATCTTTATTTACTGAACAGCGGGTGAATCATTATATGATAGCTACCGGTACCCCACGGGGAATTGTGCAGACCGAAAGGTGCGTTACAACGGTCGCAACGTTTTTGTTTATAGAATGTAGAGACGGATCTTTGATTGGCCGAGCAAATTATGGAAAGTCCCAAAAACTTTGAATACCACTGTACAGCGGTCTACTGGGTTTTCACCTTTACATTTGTTTTTGCGACTGTAACATTCCATCAATACAAGCTCGATTAGATTCCTTAGAAAATAATTCTGTAGAACTAATAGACGTGAGAGCAGAAAGAGAGATAGCTCAACAGCGTCTTCAAGATATTGCACAAAAGTTTAAAAATAGATTTGATAGGACAAGGCGTGACAATATAATCTTTAACGTAAGTAACGTTATTTACGTAAGCCAAAACTTCAACCTAAGTTTAAGGGTCCTTATTAAATTGTAGGTATATTAGACAATAATAGATTTTTGCTTAGTAAGTTTTGCTCAGTACTTGTGTACACTAAAAGAATTTCTCCCTATGGAAAACGAGTAAGTAACCAAAGGATCGCATCAAATCATAAGAATTGATTGCTTATGTCTATTTTATTTATATAACCAAGGAGTCTAACCAAATAATTAATGTAGCGGTTTTTTACTCGCATCGTTGAGGACTCGGCCTTTCATTCACAAACATTTATTTCATCCATTGTCTACCAACTACCGTTGCGTTGCTTTAATACTGGTATTTTTATAATGGTTAAGTAACTAAGTGGAAGGATTATCTAACTACTTCTAGTTCTATAGTCAAAACTTGGGCACATCAAAGTTCAAATTAAATGAAAACTCATAATAAAACGCACAGTGGTGAACCACATCGCAGCAATAGCTAGCAGCTTTTATGTAACATAATATGTATATAATTCTTTATTTGTCACAATTCTTTTAACAAATAAATGGAACCATGGCTTCTTAACTAGTTGTAAAAATGTGTGCGTGTGTTCATGTGTGTGTGTGCGTGTGTCGTGCGTGCATGCGTTTGTGCGTGTATTCGTGCGTTAGATTATTATAGACAATAAGGTGGGTAGGATAGGTAAGGTAGATAGCTCCAGCAGGTGATTTAATAAGTAGTTCGTAAGGTACTTGATATATTTTACTATCCAAAAAGCAAGATTGTTCGTATTTACAATTTGAATTACGTTTCATCATCATCATCATCATTACAGCCCTTCACAAGTCCACTGCAGAACATAGGCCTCCCCCAAGTAATACCACAAAGCACGGTCCTGAGCCACCTGCATCCATCGACTTCCTACATGTCTTACCAGGTCGTCACTCCATCTAGTGGGGTGTTCACCCTACACTACACCTACCGGTACGAGGTTGCCACTCGAGAACTTTTCTTCCCCATCGGTTATCGGTTCTTCGAGCTATATGGCTGGCCCATTGCCACTTCAGCTTACTGATCCGTTGGGCTATGTCGGTCACTCTGGTTTTACTGCGGATATCCTCATTTCTGAGTCTATCACGCAGAGAAACTCCTAGCATAGCCCTCTTCATAGCTCGCTGAGCGACTTTGAGCGTCCTCATACGGCCATCAGTGAAGGACCTCGTCTCGGTTCCGTAGGTCATCACTGGCAACACGCACTGGTTGTACAACTTAGTTTTCAGGTTTTGAGGTATACCTAACGATAAGATGTCGTAATTTTCCGAACGCTGCCCAGCCGAGTTGAATCCGTCAATTGACCTAACTCTGGTTCTGTACTCTGATAACCATCGTAGCCCTACTGTACAAACACTTCAGCACTTCGATATACCGACAGTCATAGCCGGAGGCTGGGTGATACTTGCTTCGCCAAAAATGAGTATAGCCAGTAGTTGAATATTGTTTACATTACTACTTTTTGAAAGAAAGAAAGAAAGAGATATTTATTTGGTCATTTCTTAAAAAATTTGCAATAAATACTCAAAACATACATTATAATTAGGTATTCTTATAAGTAGACTTAATTATACACTTACAAAAACTTAAAAAAAGTGAACAGCTAACTTTTAAATGGGAAATGGTCCGGTAGCGCTGATTTTCAGTGGCTACCTTATGTACATTATATAGATACACACACATATAATATATATACATATACATGGATATAATGCACATACATACATAAATATATACATACGGATAACACACACACACACACACACACACACACACACACACACACACACACACACACACACACAAGACACACACACAGACACACACGCACACAGACACACACACACAGACACACACGCACGCACGCACGCACGCACGCACGCACGCACGCACGCACGCACACACGCACACGCGCACGCACACACGCACGCACACGCACACGCGCACGCACACGCGCACGTGCACGCGCACGCACACGCACACGCACGCGCACGCACACGCACGCACACGCACACGCACACGCACACGCACAAGCACACGCACGCGCACGCGCACGCGCACGCGCACGCGCACGCGCACGCGCACGCGCACGCACGCGCACGCACACGCACACGCACACGCACACGCACATACACACACACATACACACACATACATGTGCACATGTGCACATATTTTCTATATATACGGGCACACATAATATGTACTTATTTGGATTAATAATACAAGTATATCGCACACCTAGATCTAAAGAGAGCTAATTCAAAAATCTCATATTTTGAGTTACGCATTCCATCGAATTAAATAACTCACTACCGAGCATCCAATAAAACAGATTCAAAAATAGTTCCATTACTCAACGCTAGATGATGTTAAAAGCCCATTTTGTTGAACGAGCGACCCACGCTTTCCCCCACTAAAACGGGGACATTAGAGATGGGCTTAAACGTTAAAAAATAATAACACTGCTAAATGCTAATGCAATAAATAATTAACAGTTAAAATTAGCAGTTATTTTTAGCAACTGTTAAATTTGGTCACAGACAGATTTTTAACACATAAATAATTCTCATTTCCTTCATACTTTTCACAGGCTTAGGACTGTCAACTTTTCTGTTGGCGTATTTATAATGAGCATCAATTTATTTACGATTTCTTTTTTTCATAACTGCTTTTTTAGTATTCGTAATTTTTATATAATTATCTTTTTTTTCTTGTTTTTTTTATCTTATATCTACTTATCACTTAGTAACATAACATATCTTAAAATTTTATATATTTTTTATTTCCATTTAAAAATGATAATTGTTAATGACAAATTACACGTACCAATTTTTTATGGTATCGCTATCCGTAAAAAAGTTCCATATTTCACCTTTTTTTGGCGTTGTATATCCATTTTAGTTGTTTTCTTCCAATTTGTAAGTATTCTGTTTCAAACGCAAACAACACTACACAAACATTCAAACAATTGGAATTTTCACTCACAACACTAACTACCTACTACCTAGATAACAAACTCGCGTAAACCTTCGTAACGAAAATCAATCTTTATTTAACACTAGTTAAATATTATAATAAATTATTTCCAAATTCAGCAGTTAGCACTTAGCAGTTAATTAAATGAACTCGCTCGACCTTAACATTCTAACTGTGACTGAACACTAAATACAAAATTAGTAGTTGCTAAATAAATCGCTATGTTGAAAACAATTCAATAGAGACGGAAACGGAACACGTGCGTCGTGTGTCCTTTTTTTTTACGTTAGTATCTACTCTTATTAGTTTGTGTTTTCTTTGTTGTTGCCGTCGCGTCTGCCTGCGGTCTGCAGTAGTGGGATAAAGCGAGACAAATATATATCCAGCGTCCGTGTTTGGTGCGGATGGGAGCACAGTCCATGTCCAGCCAGCAAGACCATTATTGTTTTGTTGTGAGTTGTGACTGCTAAATTTAACAGCAATCTCAGAACTTATTTAAAGGTGTTGACACTAAAAAAATTTAGCAGTGTTAATTTAGCAGCTTATTAATTTTAGACCCATCTTTAGGGGACATCGCTAGTTGTAACCAGTATTTTATGCGGAACGCACGTGCACGTTGTAAACAAATCGGAGTTATTTTGAGTTGATTCCGTGTTCTTGAGGTTTTGACTTAACATTATTTTGAGTTGTCGCTGTTTTTATGCTTAGTGCTGAGTAAATAAAAGCTACATTTTGAGTTGAATTAGTGTTGATAGTAAGGTAGGCAATGTTTTTGTTTTTATTTTGAACTGTTACCATGATGTTATAAATTTTTTGAATTTGTTGTTAAGCCTGTTTTGTTGAGTCATTTTTTAAATTCGTATATTTCTTTAGAAAACAAATGAAATTGAACTTTTTTGCCAGTAGCGATTGGAGTCTGCTCATCTTAATAATATTTTATTTTTATCCTAGTAACTACACAGTTTGTTGTGTTTTTACTGAACAGTTTTTAAGTTAGAGCTGTTTAGATGGTTCATTTGTTTTCTTTTACTATTTCAGAAAAATAATGAATCGTGGACGGTGTTTAGTAAACATGGTTGAAGAAAGGGACAAAGAAAACATCAGCCCTAGCTTACTAACCCAACCAGATACTAGACAGGAGTTTGAACCAATAATACAAAAGGAGACGGTAGTAGTGAACAAGTCACTGCTAGAAGATGACCGCGAGATGTCATTAAGTGATGAAGATTCATCTAACGAAACTCATGCAGCCTTATCCGTGGATGATAAATCTATTCCGAGCACATCTAAACAACAGCAGGCTAGTACACCAAATTATTATATTTCACCAATCCAAAGTGACCAAAGTGACTTTGATGACTCAGGTGAGGATCCCAATTTCCAATTGAATAATAAAAGTAAGACACTTTCTAAGATCGTTCCTTTTGGTTCATTGCGGTCTTCGTCCAGCACCAGCAATAGTAGCTCTAAGAGCTCATCACGTTCTAATAGCTCGTCAGACACCGAAGATGATAGTGTGCATTTACATCTTGACCCTCAGAATACTAAGGTAGCTGAAATTAATTCCCAAGAGCTCGTTGTAGAAGAAAAAAGGGTAAAAAGAGGGTACGAAAACCAACGATGTGGAAATCGAAAGTTGCGAAAGTGCTGAGAAATTCTGGTAAAGCCTACCAGTCTATGTCAAAATCAAAATTACAAGTTCCAGAGAGAAAAGTCGGCCTCCCCTGTGGAGAAAAATGTCGGCTAAAATGTAAAGATAAGATCATTGAAATATCAAGGCAACAGCTTTTTGATGCATTTTGGGGAATCGGCAATCTTGAAAGGCAGAGAGAATTTATAGTGCGACACTCACAAAAAATAAAACCTAAATATCAATACTCAAGCACACAGGATATTCAACACTGAATTCAACATTTCTTTTTTCGTACCAAAAAAAGATCAATGCGATCTGTGCGAAAGGTATAATAATTCAGACTCAGAAGAAAAACGCAACTTAAGCCAAGAGTATGAACAGCATTAGAATGAAAAAGTTTTGGCAAGAACTGAGAAAGATAATGATAAAAGTAGGGCCGATGGTACTATCGTAGCAGTTTACGACTTGCAGGCAGTTTTGCAGATTCCAAAGGGACAAATATCCCGTCCCCCGATCCCGGATCAACCGTTTCAATTTTACCATCAGCGATTTAAGGGCAAAAGAGGTTATGTGCTACTTTTGGGATGAAACCGAAGGAAAGAGAGGACCTATTGAAATTGGCAGCTGCATACTCGACTACGTTAAAGCTCAGGTAGACCAAAATCCTAATAAAGAAATTGAAATAATTTTCTACTCGGACAATTGTGGCGGTCAACAAAAAAATAAGTTTCTGTTGTCTGCCTATGCCTACGCTGTCAACAAGGTAAGAGTCAAGTCTATTACTCACAAGTTTTTCATACGTGGGCACTCACAAAATGAAGGTGACAAAGTCCATAGTGTCATTGAGAAACAAATTAAAAGATACTTGCAGTCGGGTCCAATCTATATACCAGAGCAATATAAAACGTTGATTGGTACAGCAAAAAAGACTGGAAAACCTTACATAGTCGTAGAAATGACGCATGACAAGTTTTATGATGTTAAAGCTTTGCAAGAAACGTGGGGCACAAATTTCAATACAGACGAAGAGAGAAATCAAGTCAAGTGGCATGAATTAAAGGTTCTTAGGGTTGAAAAAGATCACCCTGAAGGGTTTTTCTATAAAACATCATTTACAGAGGAAACGTTTAAGAAAGTTTGTGTGCGAAAGAAGATTCTTCGCGTAAGAGGATCCCGATCGGCCATAGCTATAGATCAATCGTTATTTTCAGTTGGTTTAACACATGCATACACTGAAAAAATTGCATTATCTGATGCAAAAAAAAAGACATAAAAGAATTGATTGATAAGAACGTCATTCCGAAATCCTATTATGATGTTTATTATAAATATGTTTTGGGTGATACTGATAATTGACTGCTTTATTCTTATTAAAGTGTTTGCATTCTTAACTATCTACTAAGAATATATGCACCATAAAAAATTTTTTTCTGATAAATAGTAAAAAACCAAAATTGTTGTTGTTAATGATGATCTCAAAGTGCCATTATTAGTATTTAAAGGCATAGTTTAGCTTTTTTGTTGATAATAGAGAAATGTCATAATTAATTAAGTCAAATGTGATTTTAGATGAGTATTTAAAATAGTATTTCATGGAACGGAAGGTTCCTCGTTATGTTTATGTTGTGTTACTATTTTATTATGATAATTTTATTTGAACCTACTAGGTAATTAAGGGTCATAAGAGGCTGTATTTTTTATAGAAAATATTAGGTATAGGTATATTATTAATAAAAAAAATTGATTTGATTACATAATTTAGTGTTTTCTTGCTAAGTCATCAACCAATATACCCCTACTGCTGGTCACTGACCCCTCTATCAGTTGGATTTAAATTGAATTAATTCTAAATACTGCTATATTTAAATTAATATTGACTCTTCAAAAGGGAGCCAACTAGGAACTTAATTCACCAACACAGGTTCAACTCCAAATAAAAAAAATATATAAATACATTTGTTAAGCAATACTGAAATAACTACAAAACTCCAATTTTCAGACTCAATTATGATTAAAATACATGATTCATTATGACATCTTTCCTCTATTTGTATTTATAAAGATTTGATCCATTCAGAAAACTCCTGCGGGGCACAGGGACACTGTAATCAGTTTATCACCTTTTCTGAAAATAATGATTTTTTGAGTTAATCGCTGTTTAGATCTAGGTGTGCGATATACACAATTGGTAGGTTTTTATTATTTTTATATTTACTTTTGGACCACAACTGCCTTATCTTTGTAGTGCTATACCGGATGTTTATGAATGTTAATTTTATTGCATAACTGGATCCGAGGATATAAAAATAATTTAAATTTCAAATAAAACACTAATACACAATAGCAACCCGAGAGATATGTTCAACATAACATGCTACCGCATCCATTTAGCATGTTTTATCACAGAACCTGCGCTAACACTACGCGCGCAATGGAAAGAAAATAGTGTAATTAGATTGTACACCCGTGACGTATGAAGGAAAAAAATGACAATTATACGCACTGGAACATATATAGATATACACTCTAAAGCATAAAAACATTAAATTTTAAAATGATAATCTACGATCGTAGCTGTTCGATTAATAGTATAGCTTTGTATTTTGTACGAAAACTATACACTGATTTTTGGCGATATTAGAGGTAGAAAGCTCGCATGCGTAAAGCCGTGATGGCCAGGAAATTGTTAGACATGAACAGCACCGACATCTGGACTAAAACAATGATTCGGCATTACGAGAATAGGCCCGCAGAGTTAGTTGATATGCTTGGTTGACTTTGACAATTTATTATATATATTAGCTATGTAATGGATGCTTAAGGGAATCTAATACCTCATTTCATCCAGTGAGTGACTACGAGTATGCGACATGCCAGGAAAATCAGACTTCCGGTAGATCGTCTTTCGTAATTACAGCAAAGGATTTGTATAACTTGGCAGCATCTGTCTTTCCATCCGAATTATAACGTTGGTATCTTCAAGGCAAGAGTGTATTGGTTCGATTGTAATGTAGTAGTAGGTGTCTTCAAGGAAAGAAACTTTGGTTAAGCTAAGTCAGAGCGTTTTATCATCTTCGGCTGCATCATCACTTACCATTAGGTGACTTATTCGTAGGTCTAATCCCCTACGCCACTACCCCTTATTCCGTGGTTGTCGTAGGAGGCGACATGACGACTGGATGAAAGATAAAGTAAGCAAGAGCATCGTTTTGATTTTAACTCAGAATAATGTTACGAGCTTGAGGTTCGTGACAATAAAAATTGCCGATAAAATTACCTAAATTAACTCATTAATTTACTTTACACAAATTAAAGTTATAAAAACACTAATAATTAAACACACTTATTCACTTTGTTCCGCTCCGAAGCTTCGCTTTTCTCGCCAAATCAACACTGCCCCGATCGCATCTTGCAGCGCCTATTTATATAATTAGCAAAGAAGCGTCCCGAACATTCAAGTAAATGCGCGCCAGGCAACGAGTATTCGAGTGTAGATTTTCCAGAAACTTAGTTCTTCGGGTGGCGCTGTCGGTCGAGTGATTTGTGATGTCATTTTCTCAATGCTCCCCTCGCTCTCGTTCCTGACACTAGATGGCGCTAGTGTATCGTCGACTTGAGCGCGTAACACTGCCCCCTCCTAAGACATGCTCGTCCCAAGCATTATCGGCCCCATAATAACGCGCCAAGCGATCCACATGGACGATCTTAGGAGTCCCTCTTGCGCCTTTCTGTAACGGCTCCGCAATGTCAAGGGCTGTTCTATCCCGTGGTGCACCAACATTGTACAATTTCGGTGCTCCTCTACTACGTGTCTGAGGTCCCCGCACGGCCGCACAACTTGTACATGTAATACACCAATCCTCGACATCGTCACGATAATGGACCCAGTAAAACTGTTCTCGGACCTTCAGTAGAGTTCGTTTAACTCCCAGATGGACTCTTGAACGACCATTATGGCACAGCTGTAGAACATTCGGCACTTTAGCTTTAGGGACAACCATTTGCAAACGACAGCTGTCTCCTCGACCATTGTCCCATTTACGGCACAGGACTCCATCCTGAAGCAGCAAGCTGTCCCATTGGGCCCAATAGCTTTTCGTGGTTGAACTCATCGCTGAGACGTCCTTCCACTTAGGCTTGGTAGCACGGGCCTTCATCCATCCCAGAATCGGCTTGATGTCCGGATCTTCCTGCTGTGCATGTCGTAGCCTGTCCTTCCACCCGATGCTGAGGTGGTCTGTTCTGAGCATCCTCACGGATACCACTTCCTTTCCTTGCCTACTACAATGGTTGCCATCTTCAGGACAAGGTCTTCTTGACAATGCATCTGTGTTGCCGTGAGATTTCCCGCTGCAGTGTCTGATAGTAAAGTCGTATTCCTACTGCTGCTGGGCGGTGCTGTTAGCCGCACTTCCTTTCTGAGACCGTTCACCTTCCCTTCCTAGGGTGTGCTTAGGGCAGCTGGACCGAAGATGGCCCCTTACCCCACAGCCATAGCACCTAGGGCTGTATCTTTTATTGTGGTCGCGAACCGTAACTGCTGTAACCTCCCTAGCGTGAGGTGAACGATGATCCTGTCGCCGCCAGGCAGTGCCGTTAGCTGCACTACCCTCTCGAGATCGATCAACTCTCCTTTCTACGGTTCGTTTAGGGCAGCTGGATCGAAGATGGCCCTTTTCCCCACAGCCATAGCACCTAGGGCTGTATCCTTTGCTGCGGTCACGGACTGTAGCTGCTGCAACCTCCCTGACGCGATGGGAACGATGATCCTGCCGCACGGCTTCCACCTCCAGTGCATGGGCCAAGGCGTTCTTAAGCGTCTCGTGGTGCCCGAGCCTCACAGCAGCTCTGACTTCCAGGTCACGGATGCCGTCGATGAATGTCTGCACCAGGTTCCCTTCAATGAGCGCAGGTACAGACCGGTATGCTTTTCGCACCAGCTTCTCCACTTCTAGAGCCCACTGCTGCAGGTTTTCGTTGATGCGCTGCACACGATCTTTAAGCTGCGCACGAAAGACGTGTTCCAGGTGAGCGTCGCCATATCTCGCCTCCAATTCCTCAAGGAGTTGCTCATAAGTCACTTCCTCACCGAGAGCTTCCAGAACTGTTAAGGCCTGGTCGCGCAGGCCTAGTGTGAGAGCAGTCATGGCCTGACTTTTATTCCAGCCGTTCGTCTTCATAACAGCCTCGAACTGGATTTTGTAGGCTGACCAGGAAGAAGTCCCGTCGAATGGTGGCACCTTGAACCCAGGTAGCGAAGGTGTAGTAGCTACTACGGAAGCTGTAGTTCCATCTCCCAGTTTGAGGTCGTCCAGAGTTTTCTTCACGTCAGCCATCACGTAATCAACCCGATTGTTTACTTGGTCGATTTGGGTTTTAGCTTCCTTGATTTGGGTTTCAGCTTCCGACAGGCGGTTGTCATGTTGAGCAACCCTATCCTTCACCTCCCTAATCTCTTTCCCGAAGTTAGCGTGAATGTCCTTCACGAGGAGCATCTGCTCTTCCTGTCAGCGGGCCTGTTCCTCCTCCTGCTGCTCTTTCAACCAACGGGGCTGTTCCTCCTGTCGACGGGCCTGTTCCTCCTGTCGGCGAGCCTGTTCCTCGCAGCATCACCATCAGAGCACCTAAATCGGGTGCTGCAGATGTAGGAGCTACTGACGGGCCTGCAACCGGCGGCTGGCCCTCCGACGTCTGCGGCGTTGCACCACCAAATCATCTTTGGTCCGTCTCTTGCTGGCGTTGATTTCGGGTACGGACACCCTCCGTTTCCTCCTTAGGTAAAATCGGCATGATTTTATCCCACTTCTGACACCAATTGTTACGAGCTTGAGGTTCGTGACAATAAAAATTGCCGATAAAATTACCTAAATTAACACATTAATTTACTTTACACAAATTAAAGTCATAAAAACACTAATAATTAAACACACTTATTCACTTTATTCCACTCCGAAGCTTCGCTTGTGTCGCCGAGTTCAACTCTGCCCCGATCGCATCTTGCAGCGCCTATTTATATAAAATTACTATTACTATTTATATAAAAGCAAAGAAGCGTCCCGAACATTCAAGTAAATGCGCGCCAGGCAACGAGTATTCGAGTGTAGATTTTCCAGAAACTTAGTTCTTCGGGTGGCGCTGTTGGTCGAGTGGTTTGTGATGTCATTTTCTCAATGCTCCCCTCGCTCTCGTTCCTGACACTAAATGGCGCTAGTGTATCGTCGACTTGAGCGCGTAACTCGAATAAAAAAATCTGCCGTTACCAACCCGCCTGCCAAGCGTGGTAATTAAGGTTTTACATACTTTTAATGTACTATAATATGTGTGGAAAAACAAAGATCAATGGCCTTAAAACATATTTTCTCAAACTGTATCGACTTTCTATTTTTTACGTATGTGGCTTCCTATTGACATTACTCTTACAATACAACGTTCAGAAACCTAACAAAATTTTAACAGCGCTTCGTTTATAAGTCAACTCATAAAAAAGAATGTCTGTCCGTAAAAATTTTTAAAGGGCGCCGCGTATACAAACTGTCATTGTTCCAATAAAGGATTAATGAACGAAACAAATTCGGCAGTAAGCACGGCGCATGAAGTTTTTAGTCTAAGTGAGCATTCATCTTAATAATATTTTTATATCCTTGATTATTGAACGACATTTGATATTTTTAACGTTATTCTAATGAGTCTTGCTTTAGGACGGTAACAGTAATACTTCGATGGTTCTGAGTTCAAATCCCAGTTGTAAACAAAATTCCTTATACATATTAAACGGCTATGACGACACAATATAATAAAGTATCACCCGTAAACAAAGATATGTTATCGTGATTAGTTATTTGTCTCCAACTTGAATCAAGTAAATCATTTCCTTTTCTTTCAATTATAGATAAAATGGATAAAGATTATCTGTTTTTTTTTTTTTTTGAGGTTTGTACAATTTAGTTAAATATATCTCGAAAGAAAAAATTAAAGCGTACATTTTAAAACTGCAATCCAGCGCTGCTAATGGCCAAGTAGCTGCGAACGTCTTGAGAACGAGTCACGTAGACAAAGTTGAGACTATAATAGAGATTTAAGTTGTTATTTACATTCAGATATAATTAACGAGGAACCAAAAATGGCCCGTGACCCTGACACTATTTTCAAGGTTTTACGCCCAGTGCCAGAGTTTTATAATAACCCTAATGTACTGAATAGATTTATAAAATTATGTGATCAAATATGTGCTGCATACCTAGGTAATTATAGGCGTGAAAGGACTTGTGCCTGTGCTAGATTAAGGATAATTTTAGAATTAAATTTCAGTTACGATTTGTAATTATTAATCCATTTTCGAATTAATTTAGATGTTTTAAGAATTGTTAATTTGTTACTACTTCCGGTTTCTATGTATATTGTAATAAATGTATTAAAATAGCCAAAAAATGTTTATTTGGATTTTAAAAATATTTCATATTTTTGAATGTGTTTGTAAGGGTTTTAGTTCCTTTATCTTATTACTTGTATGTGTTAAACCGTTTTGGGCCACGTGTTTCCTGAAATATATTTATACTGCAAATTAATTGCTGAAAACAGTGAAAATGGTTTTTAAAATTATTTTTATGATTTTATTTAATCATTAATAATTTTTATAATTTGATTGTAAATATTTAGATGTGTTAAGAATTGTTCAATTGTAAAAAAAATAACAGCGACATTGGCGGTAATCGTATAAATACTCCGAATTCAAAGAAATTCGCTACAGTACTTGGTTATGACAGAGTACTTTTTGTATACCTGAAACTTGGTTATTGTTCGTATTGTCAAGTTAAGTATATTTATGCTATGTCTTATTTGATTGTACCTTTGCCTCTTGTGTCTTTTGTTAAAATATGTGTGAAGATATTTTCTTTAAATATATTATTCTAAATTGGCTAAATTCTTTTCATAATTTGTCCCTTGTTAGAAGAAAGATTTTAACAGTTCCTTTTAGCTAAATGGAAGAATTTAAGTTAATTACTGAGCCGATCTTTTTCCTAGCTGATTTATTTGTTTAATTTTCCATGAAAATAGTGTCAGAAGTGGGTTTAACTGTGCTTTTTGTTAATCGTTTTATTTTAAATATTTCAGGGCAAACTATTTCAATATGGATGCGAAGCTGGTGAAAGGGCTGTTGGAAACCATCCAAAATGCAAAGGTTTTAAATAAGCGGTACGACAACGTAGAAGTGCCAATTTTCGACCCGGACAAAAGCAACGACGGAGCAGTTGGCTGGTGCGGAAGCTTCGATAAGTTGAGAGAAGAGTTAAAATGGAGCAGCTTTGAGAAGGTTGCAAAAGCCGGTAAGGCCCTTCGGGGCGCTGCATTACTGATATGTGTGAAGGCCTGATACAGGTAGATCATGGGAAAAATTCAAAAAAAGATATTATGTTTGTTTACCCGCAAAGGAAAAATCTTAGTGAGAAACTGTTAAGTGCTGTGTTATACATGTCTGATGACACAGATTTTTTCGATGGTTATGCTAGGGAGAAATTAAGACTATCAAAACCTGCTAAAATAAGTTTTACTGAGGGCCAACTAATAAAGCTTGTTTGCGGTGGAATTAGTGACGTAAATGTAAAAAAGGATAGTTTAAATAGTTCTATGGAGTCGATGGTCGATCTCATTTCTTTACTTTCAACTTACAAAAAATTGCCAAAAAAAGCCGTTTTAACAGTGGTTGCGTAACAATTCACCAGGTCCTAGTAACTCTAAACGTTTTAAATATAATTCGACTCCATATAATAATAAAAATCAAAATAAATCTAACTTTAAATTAAAATACGTTGTTGATAACCGGGCTTTTTGCCAAACTGTACTCAATCTCCACAAAATTCTGTAAACTGTAATTTTTGTAAAAAGACCGGCCATGATGAAAGTAAATGTTATTTAGATTATTCTTGTTCATATTTTAAAAAACATGGTCATAGTGAAGGTCAATGTTTAAAAAAAGATAAATCATGACGCGTCAGCAAACATTATTACCTCGCAAAAAAAAACCTTGTGACTAGGCTTACTTTTAACGCCAATTTGTATAAATTACCCAGAAATAAATTCACTTATTGATACTGGAGCGAGCTGTAACATAATTAGGAAAAGCATTGTTAGACGGTTAGGTTGCCGCCTCCCTCCTAGCTCTGTATATTTAGACGGCGTAGGAAATGGAAAATTACACGCCTTTTCGACTTTGACCTTGCCCATAAAAATCGAAGATATTTGTCTTGAATTCATGTTTTGTGTTGTCAAGAATTTAATTAGAAATTTTAATTGTGACAGTTTGGTAGGAAAAAAATTCCGTTCAACACCCCGATGTCGCGTTTATTAGACTCCCGTGGAAATAGGTTAATACGTAACCCTTTTCCGCCATCAAATGTAAATCCGGTCACTTAGATTCAGACTTAAAAGTTCAAATAATTTAAAAAAAAATAGAAAAACACCCGGGCGTCATTTCATGGGAAACAAAAGCTGGGTACATTGATGAAAATATATATTAATAATTTTTGCGAGACTCAAAAATCTCAACCAAGAATGTTTGTTCCGAAAGTTGTCCCTCTATCACGATGAAAGCTGCCATATATTTTTTGATAATACATGGTGTCCAGGAATTGCCCGATTTGTAGGAAGATACATCTTAGGCCAGGAAAAACGAGCTCTCAGAAGCAATAGCATTCCTGACCCAAGCGGCGGATTTGGTCTATCGCTCCGCTGCCAACCGAAATTTGGCTGCAGGTAGAAATATGTGATAAATTTTGATGTGAATACGTCTTTAAATTTGCTCCACAGTGGGGAAAAATTCAGAAAATTGATGATAACAAAATCGGGAAATACAGTTTGATGTTGCAACTACATATCTATTATATGTACATCCAAAATTTAACTTTATATATATATATATATATATATATATATATATATATATATATAATGCGTGTGTGGAATTAAAGAAAAAAAATTGAATAAATATAATAATGTAATGTCGGCATATACTCGTTAAAAAGCCAACTCAAAATATAGTAATTGTATACAGTTAGAAAGGCCTTCTCAAGAGAAATCCACTAACATCCCTAAAAACACCATATGACAGAGTGAAACGGTGTCGGAAACGTAAAAGAATGAAGAGGTCCGAGCGGATTAACGACGGCATCTGTACTTCTGCAGCTTGGGCGGCTGAGATACGAGCGCTACTGCCAATATCAGAAGACGACGGTCATTGCAGCGGTATTCAACTAAAGGAATATAAACTGCGCAAGCCTTTTGGAGATGAAACATTTTGACATACGTAGCGGAATTTATATCGACAACAATGTGACGAAAGCACAGTACTTGATCGCCGGCGAACCTTAAAAAATGCTAACATCTGTCGCGTGATGCGTAGCACTCACATAGGTCAACGAGAGATACTTCTGCAGTCAATAAATCAATTCCACACTCACATTACACACACACTCAATCGGGCGTTATTATCATCATCAAGTCGCATAGAAGAAGACGTCACCATATATGTTGTTTACATCAATAGCTTCACTGATTGTAAGAAAGTTAACGTTGACATTGCCGAGATGAATTTGCAGATAAAACATCCAAAGGTTGATTATGCGTGTCTAGTGCGTAACAATCAATAGCGTCTTCAAATTCATACTCTTAAATATTCCAAGAAAGTGTAAGTAAAAAGTATTTAGTTAAAAGTATTTCTCATAAAGTATTCTAAAAAGATCATTAAGATTATACCCGAAAAGAGACAGATCTCACTTCGTCAATCGTGATGGTCGGAGACTTTCATTTCAACTGAGTGAGTTTAATTTGTCTTACATCAAAACTTCTTCAACAGCGATAGGTAATACCAGTATTGATTTGACGTTTATCAGAAATCTCGACGACAGTCTGGTTATCACATTAACTTATATACAACTAGCGTAGGTTATTATCTTAAACTTGTGATATTACTCACTTCATTCATAATGGTAAATAAACTTTATAAGAGTTCAACCGACTACAAATAAAAAAATGTTTGCAATTAGTAGCTTCTAAATTTTCGTGGAATTTATTTTTGTTTATTAAGTTCGAAATCAGTTTTAGTTATTTTTTTTCTAAGTTCAAATATTACGTCAGTTTTCATAAGACGCTGTCAGTTTATGATTGTAATCTTATTCATCGCGATTTTTTTCTATTTAAATATCGAATATATCAAGAAGTGAAAATAACTACCCTAATAAACATATATCATACTCATACCTGGGCTATGAAGCAAGAAAAGTTTGATAACAGTATAAGATTTGATTAATTTTTAACCACACGTGATAAATAACACATACAAATGCAATTGACAATTTGGGTTAATTAGCTATGTGATGGATGCTTAAGGGAATCTAATACCTCATTTCACCCAGTGAGTGACCACGAGTATGCGATATGCCAGGAAAATCAGATTTCCAGTAGATCGTCGTTCATTATGACTACAGCAAAAGAATGGAATAGCTTGGTAGCATCAGTCTTTCCATCCGAATCATAATGTCAGTATCTTCAAGGCAAGAGTGTATTGGTCCGATTGTTTGGTGGCTTCAAGGCAAGAAACTTTTGTAAAGCTAAGTCAGAGCGTTTTATCATCTTCGGCTGCATCACCACTTACCATTAGGTGACTTAGTCGTAAGTCTTATCTCCTAAGCCACTAACCCCACAGCAAGAATCCACTACCCCTTACTCCGTGGTTATCGTATTGAGACGACAGCTGAATGAAAGACAAAATAAGCAAGAGCATCGTTTTGATTTTAACTTAGAATAAAATCTGCCGTTACCAACCCGCCTGCCAAGCGTGGAAGGTTATACATACTTTTAATGTACTACTAATATGTATGGAAAAACACAGATCAATGGTCTTAATACATTTTTGCTGAAAATGTTTCGACTTTCTATTTTTTATGTCTGTGGCTTCCTATTGACATTACTCTTACAATACAACGTTCAGAAACCTAACAAAACTTCAACAGCGCTTCGTTTAATAAGTCAGCTCATAAAATAGAACGTCTGTCTATAAGATTTTCTAAAAGGCGCTTATACAAATTGTCTTTGTATTATATTGTCATAAAGGATAAATGAACGAAACGAATTCGGCAGTGAGCCCGGCGCGTGAAGTTTTTAGTCTAAATGAGCCTCGCATCTTAATATTATTTTTATATCCTTGATTATTGAACGACATTTGATACCTTTAACGCTTTATTATTCTAATGAGTTATTGTAATTGTTTATGAGCTTCAGAAGCCACTTATAATCAGGTGGACAGTGAGTTATTTTGTTATATAAAAATTTCACTTAAGCTTTATATAAAAAGTAAATTTAATATTTCCGCAGCGTAAGACAGTCTACTTAATGATAAGTTGATGTCGGGATCTCCTTGTCCTCGAAAATAAAGAAAATGTTCCTCTCACAAATCTACAAATTGATTGATACGTATTAAGTTACATATAGATAAACTACTACTAAGAGCTGAACTATCTTTCGTAATAACGTATTAAGTTATTAAATCATATTTTAAGTTCCGAACAACCATTGAACCAAGTTTTGTTATAAAAATGTTATAACGACACAATATAATAAAGCATCACCCGTGAATAAAGATATTTTTTCGTGATTAGTTTTATCTCCAACTTGAATCAAGTCTCAAATAAAATGACTCCTTTTATTTCAATCATAGTTATAATGGATATAGATTATCTGTTTTTTATAAAGTTTGTACAATTTAGTTAAAAATATCTCGAAAGAACAAATTAAAGCGTACATTTTAAAACTGCAATCCAACGCTGCTAATGGCCATGTAGCGGCGAACGAATCCGTTCTCCGTCAAATAGAGAATAAAGTAAGCGGTAGCACTTCATATAACGAGATCACTTTCATTTATAACTTTTTCGTAATTATCGTTTTAAATTATACGCAACATAGTCTTATCACGTGTAAACTATGTAGTACCCGGTTGACCGAGCTTTGCTCGGTATTTTTCGCTCGGTTTTTTTTTTAATTCGTGTGTTTTGGAAATTATATTTAGATACAAATTACATACTGATGAAATACGAATAATATTTTTTGATCTTAGCGATATAATAGAAAAAACTGAACTGGTTATTTGAATAAAAAATCATGAGTGCAATTAGTTTAATTTAAATTTTCGTGTTTTTAAAAAATACTAAAAAAAAGAGCTCGAAAAAATAGATTTTCTCAAAAAAAGAAAGAAACTTGAAAAAAAATTAAAAAAATCGGTCGGTCGGTCTGGACTCGAACGATGGTATTACGATTTTGTGACCGCTCAATATACCAATTAAGCTATTTGTAATCACTAATTAACTGTCAAAATTTACCTTC